TTATGTGATCAAGAAGTTATAGATAGACGTAATGGTGCTAAATGCCATGTAATGAAGAAGTTATAGATAGATGTAATGGTGCTAAAGCTAATGTAATGAAGAAGTTATAGATAGCTGTAATGGTGATAAAGTTTATGTGATCAAGAAGTTATAGATACATGTAATGTTAATAAAGCTTATGTGATCAAGAAGTTATAGATAGACGTAATGGTGCTAAATGCCATGTAATGAAGAAGTTATAGATAGATGTAATGGTGCTAAATGCCATTTAATGAAGAAGTTATAGATAGACTGTAATGGTGCTAAATGCCATGTAATGAAGAAGTTATAGATAGCTGTAATGGTGCTAAAGCTAATGTAATGAAGAAGTTATAGATACATGTAATGTTAATAAAGCTTATGTGATCAAGAAAGTTATAGATAGACGTAATGGTGATAAAGTTTATGTGATCAAGAAGTTATAGATAGATGTAATGGTGCTAAATGCCATGTAATGAAGAAGTTATAGATAGATGTAATGGTGCTAAAGTTTATGTGATCAAGAAGTTATAGATAGATGTAATGGTGCTAAATGCCATGTAATGAAGAAGTTATAGATAGATGTAATGGTGCTAAAGCTTATGTGATCAAGAAGTTATAGATAGATGTAATGGTGCTAAATGCCATGTAATGAAGAAGTTATAGATAGATGTAATAGTGCTAAAGCTTATGTAAATTGCTTTCAAGAAAGTGTATCTCGAGTGTGTTCAAATCTTAATCTGGTGATTTTATTAGATTTAATTACTTCAATTATTGTTAGAACACTGGCGGTTAAAATGTGGTAAATATTAAGGTATATTTCTTCACTCCTAAAATAGTTTCGGGATCTACACTCAGCGGTTTTTTTTTATCTTACTGAACCAACAACGCTATTTGAGATTTAATTTGGGGGGGGGGGCAAATTTTTACGGAGGTCCAAAGACTACTGGACCTCTGGAAAAACTTGCATTTTTCTAAAGTGAAAATGTAATTATATTTGGCCTGTCATTGAATTGTAACTTTACAAAACTCATAGTAAAAACGTAAAACTGGTATTGTATTGTCTCCTGAGTAATAAGGGGGAAAATAGCTTCTCTTGATTCACACTCTTGGCATACCTGTACAGAACTCTATTTTTTTAGAAATCCTTAACTAACAAACGGATTGAGAATAATAGATTTCTCTAATGTTAAACTTTCGACCAATCCATCGCATCTAGATGTCATAATGATTTTGATTTCATTTGTTTTAATAATATTTAATTTTTAGTATGTCCTTAAATATATATATATTCTTAAGAATACTGCTGTGTTATATTTTTGACTTTAATAGTCGAGGAAGAGATGCCAAGGTGCATCTAGGCAAGAAACTCCATTCAGAAAAGACTTCTGTTGGTGAGGGAAACAAATCACTGAAGGCTAGTCGTGTTGTTTCCCTTAACACTATTGATAAATATTAAAAATAATATTTTAATATGATATAACATATGTATGTATAGGTATAATTTGTTGTTTTTACATTTATAACAAAAGAGTAGAAAATATTTCAATTTATAGTAATCT